GAAACAGTGGTTGCCTGGGGCAAAGAGTGGAGAAAAGCAAGGGAGAACAATGGAGTATAATGGAGAAAGTGGGGAGAAAAAACAAGTGGGGAAAATAAAGTGGGGAAAAGCAATGGAGGACAATGGAGTACGATGGAGCAGGAGGGCATTTTGGGGAGCATAGAAATATTCTCCGTCGTGATTGTGGTGGTGGTTAAGTGATTGTATACATTTTTCCAAACTCATCAAATTGTACACTTAAAATTGTTAAACTTTACTGTACTCTACAAATTATACCTCAATAACATGTATTTTAAAAAGTAAAGAGAAAACTCATCAAACTGTACACTTAAAGTGGATGCATTTTTCTATGTAAATTGTACCTCAATAAAGTTGAGTTTTTAAAATGGAAAAAATATATATTGTGCTCATTTTCACGGGCCATTAAATACTTTTCAAAAGTACCTTAATTTGAATATTATGCAGTTCTACTATTCAATGTTATAGATGTGCCACAACTTAATTAGCCAGTCCATTATAGCAGAATACTTAGGTTATTTTCTTTTCTTTTTGCCACTGAAAATAACATTGCAATGAATATCTGTGCATATGAAACTTTGTCTACGTCTTAGATTCTAGAGAAGGAACAATTGGGTCAAAGTGTAGGAATATTTTCAAGGTTCTCAGTGTATGTGGAACAACCTCTTAAAGCTGACTCCTTTTAACTGTGGGGACAGGAAGTCGCAGTGATGGAAAAAGGATGGTTGCTTTTTCTACAGCACCCCTATAATGAAGGGAACCGTGTGGATTCTCCGTGAGAGGGACATGGGGCTAAAGAGGCTGTGGGTCCTTGTCTTGGTCCTGTCACTTGCTGTGTAACCTTGAACCATTTTTCCCTCTTTGGATTCGGCTTTTTAATCTCCAAAATGAGAGTCATAATTTATGATAGGTAATATTTTCTAAACAGAAAAACCACTAACCATAAAATAAACAATTGATAATTGAAAATAAAAACTTGCATTTATCAAAAGACATTATTACGAGAAAAGATCAAGCATGGACTAGAAGAAGGAATCCATAAAACATACATTCAGCTGAGGACTTGTATCCAGAATTCCTAAAAACAATAGGGAAAGAAACGAAAATTTACAAAGTGGGCAAAGACTTCAATATGCACTTCACACACACACAGAGACGCAGGTATTCAAACAGCCAGAAGGCAGATGAAGAAGTGCTCAGTACCATAAGTCACATGGGAGTGCAAATTAACACCACATGAGATACCACTATACATCCCCCAAAATGGCTAAAATTTGAAAAACTGACAACACCAACGTCTAGTGAGAAGGAGGAAGAACTAGCACTCTTTTACATGGCTGGGGCATGGGGGGAGTGTGAAATGGCACAGTCACTTTGGAAAACTGGAAGTATCTGCTAAAATTAAATTTACGTACCCTTGGACTCACAATTCCACTCCTAGGTATGTATATATTCCAGAGGAATTAGTAAAGATGTCACTAAAAGACATATACCAGAAATTTCATAGCAGTTTTATTCATAATAGCCCAAAACTTGAAAAACCCAAATGTCCATTAACAGGATAATAGATAAATCACGGCATAGCTATGTAATAGAATACTACGCAGCAAGAACAAACAAACTTCTGCTTATTGTAATAACATGGATAAATCTCTCAGATATAATGTCAAGCAAAAGAAGCCAGACTCAAAAGAACACATATTGAATGATAAGATTTGTATGAAGTTCAAGAACAGGCAGAACTAAGCTATGGTGGTAACAGGCAGAATAGTGATGACTTCTGCTGAGGATAGTGGAGGTATTGACCAAGAAGGGGCACGGGGAACCTTCTGGGGTCATGGAAATGTTCTGCATCCTGTTCTTGGTGGTTGGTACACAGGTATAGACATGTGTAAGACTTCACTGGGCTGCTACTTACGAGGTGTGCACTTTCCTGGGTGTGTGCTCTACCTCAATAAAAGTAAATAAATGGGAATTAGAGAAAATGTAATCATTGGACTAGATGACAGCTTAGGTCTTTCCAACCTTGTAGAGTCTCTTCACACACTACTTGCTTTCTCTCTTTCCTGCTGTTTTCCTCTTTCCCAAGCTCCTCTCCTCTAAAAGCTTTAATTATCCCTCCACCTGGTGTGCTCACACATCTGCGTCTCTCTAGCCCAAGCCCACTGAAGTTCATTCTGTCTGGACGTGCTCTTCCTGCACCACACCTACCCTACAACTTCTCCAAACAAAACTCACCTTCTTCCACCTCCTCTCCACCCACCAGAGTAATACCAGTCGGTGTGCTCCCTGGCACACAACGCTGTCCCCTTCTCCAGGAACAGCCCTAACACTCAGGGCTGAGCCACTGGAAAGCAAGACTGTATGTCGTGAATCTAACTCCAGCCCATCGCTGACCAGCCCAGAAGGAGGCACCCCCACCAAGCTGCACCAGATTTTCTCTCCCGTGAATTTAGAATCTGCACCAACAGATTTTATTGAGATTCATGTTGGCTTTACCATTCCATTCTTCTTTCTTTTATTTCCATCCTTTCCTTCTCTGCCAGGGTTGGCCACACCATGGAAGGATCTGTCTTTCTGCTTTATTCTGCCGATTTTTAAAAGAGTTAGTTGATGAGCCCCTGGGCGTAGGAGAACAAACCAGTCCCTCAGAACAGGTAGCAGCTGAAGTCATTGAAGGCAAAGTCACAAAAAAAGTCCACAAATTCCTTCCTCTGAAGTTTCGGAAGCTTCCCTAGGTTGTCCTGTTGGGTGTTCAGCTCTTCCTTTTAGTTTGAAGGATTCCTACTCTACATTCTTGCATTAAATATCCATTTTTACTTCAACTAGGTAGAGTCAGTTTCTGTTGCTTGCAATCAGAATAATTTAACTGTATACCCTCCCCAAGGCCAGCCCTCGTCCTCTCTACTGCTCTGTTCCCAGGATTTGTTTATGACTTTACCCTCTTCCTTTGCACCTAGTTGTCTTCAACTTGACTTCCTTCTGTTTTTATGGAATCCTGTCTGACCCACGCCTAAAACCCTTCTCAGATCAGTCTTCTCCTTTCCGACCCTCAAGACCAATGCCTGTGTTCAGATCCTGTCATCACTACTCTGAGCCACTGAAACGGGCTCCTCTTTGATCTCCCACCAAACTCTTGCCTCTCCAATTCGTCCCTCACAGTTCTGTTAGAGGGAGCTTCCTAAAGCCCAGCTCTGAGCATGCCATTTCCTGTTCATCATCCTTGCTGGCTCACCATTGTCTACTAGACTATGAGTGTAGGCTCCTTAGTGTGGCATCAAGGCCCTCCACAATGGCCCCAACTTGCCTTTCTAGTCTCATCTCTGGCTCTGCTATTCCTCCCAAGCCACACGTGCTGCCTTCCAATTGAACTAGACAGTTCACATGCTCCCAACACACAAGCTCACACCTCAGGGCCTTTGCTAACTTTGTTCCCTTAGTTTCAATGTCCTACCCCACCCCTCCTACCCTCACATCCTCTGTGATTGTTGAAACCTCACCCATTCTTTGAGGCCCAGATAAAATGCCAGCATATGTATGAAACTTGCCCTTGTTAGAATTCATCATCAGCAGTGCTATATTCATAACTCTGTTATGAGTGTGTAATTCCTGACCTTGAGCAACAGGTATTTGCATCTGTGTATGTCTGTCTCCTCCAGTAGACTTGCTTCCTGTGACCAGAGACCAGATCCTGTTTCCTACTGTATCCCTCCTGCCCGCCACAGTCCCTGGCAGAGAGTCAGTGCTGAATAACTGGGTGTGGAATTAATTTTCTGAAATGCCATGGGAAAAAAATGAAAATGGGAGAGGAGGAACGTGGGCAGAGGGGACACAGACACCGAGGGAATGAAAGAACAAAGAGCAGAGGGAGAAAATCGTTAGGAACTGGATCTCTCCTCCAGGACAATTTTATGATCAAAAGGGACAAATGCTTCCCAACTAATCTAGCTCCACCTGGCACTGGTACTACTGGGAGATGGAACAAGGTGCAGACGCCAGGGCTGAAAACAAGAGCATGGAAGCAAAGCAAGGGACACCTGTTTCCCTGAGCCTGGTTCAGAAGCACCAGCGCCCTGTGGCTAGAAGCACGACCTCGGCTGCTAGCTGTCCCGAGGGACGGGTTCACTCTCCTATGCCCAGGGCCACATCAACCTGCTCTTTTCAAAATTAGCAGAAGAAAGCAGAAAGACAAATCGTTCCATGGTGTTGCCACCCCTGGCAGAGAAATGACGGAGATAAAAGAAAGAAAAATGGGATGGTGAAGCCAGTCTGAATCTCGATAAAATGCCCATGAGCTCTACGATTTCCAGGTGATGGAGAGTCAGCCAGCGTGGCACCAATCTCCCTGGGAAAGGGGGTTACAAAGTGAGAGTAAGGAGGGGAGGGAATGACATGGCTTTTTATAGCCCCTAATATCTGTTCTGACAGCAGCTTGCACGGCTTCCACGTGCCAGGGTGCTAGGAAGATGAATAGATTTGCCTTTCTGCTAACTATCAGTACCCAGAGCACTGGGGAGAATGAAGAATGGGTTGCAGACCCATATCCCAGCTTCCATCTCTTTTCTCCTGGTTAAGAAAAAGGCTAAATAACAACTCTTATATGTCCTAACCAGCCCATCCCAACCACAGACAACATATATAACCTCAGGGGCAATAGGTAGCCCACTGAGCTACGGCGTTCACCTCCCAGCACCAATGCCCAGCACACAGCCAGTCCTGAGGAGCTGCGGTTCAAATCCAGCCCATCAGCACGGTCAGGTCCACACTAGGTCAATAACATACTTCCAGATCCATTAAGTCCCTTGCAGGAGCCTCTCATCTAAAGCCCTATAGCACTTTCCATTAAGAGGAATCACAGGCTCGCTCTTTGCCACAGGTGCAGATGATTCTGCTTGTTGCTGGGACTCGCAGGTGCTTGAGCGAGCTGAACCGTCCACACACATTGCAACAAAGGAAGAAGAAAATACAGTGAGTGGTCCCACCTCCAGCAGAGTTTACGATCAGAGTCTTGAGGTCAGTGGTTCTCAGCTTCGACTACACAATCGGACCACCTCAAGAGCTTAAGAAATCCTGGTGCCTGAGAAGAGAAAACAGTTGGAAAATGAAATGATGCAAACAGATCATCCACAGCAGCACCTCCAAAGAAAAAAAACTCTTTAGGATAGATTTAAAATAGGTGCAAGATCTGTACATTGAAAACTATAAACACTGCCGTGAGAAACGGAGAGATGTCTCACGTCAAGTAATGGAACTGATATGTGAACTTAGCAAGGCCATTAAATGCAAGGTTCATAGACAGAAACCAATGGTACTCTTTTATATCAGCAGCAACCAATTGGAAAATGAAATTTAAATTTCCATTGGAAATGAAAAGTAATCCCATGTAAGTAGCACCAAAATCAAAATATTAGGAATAAATCTAGTAGTAGTTGTCTCCTCAACCCCTGCACTGAAAATTGCAAAACATTGATGAAATTAATAAGACTTAAATAAATGGAGATGACCCATGTTCAGTTTGGAATGCTTAATGTTGTTAATATATCAATTCTCCCCAAACTAATCTGTAACATCAATACAATTTCAATCAAAATCCCAGCGGGCTTATTTTGTGGAAATTGACAAGCTGATTTTAAAGTCCACATGGAAATGCAAAGGATCTAAAATAGCCAAAACAATTGTGAAAAAGAAGAAGAAAGGCAGAGATTTTATGCTGACTGACTTCAAGATTTCCCAGAAGGCTCCAATAATCAAAGCAATGTTTATTAGTGTAAAGATAGATACGTGGATTGATGGACCAGAATAGCAAGTCCAGAAATAGATCCACAGCTATACGGTCAATATATTTTTTACAAAGGTAACAATATAATTCAATAGAGAAAGGGTACTCTTTTCATACGTGGTTTTGGGATAATTGGATATCCATATGAAAAAAAATAAACCTTGAACTGTCCTTCACATCATACACAGACATTGACCTGAAATTGATTATAGACCTAAACATAAAAGTTAAACTATAAAACATCTAGAAGAAAATTTAGGATAAAATCTTTGTGGTTTGGGATAGGCAAAAATTTCTTCAGTCACAAAACAATATGAATTTCAAAAGAAAAAAATTGATAAATTGAACATCATCAAGATGTTTAACTTCTGCTCTTTGAAAGACATTGTTCAGAAAATGAAAATACAGGCCACAGGAGAAAACACGTGTGTGGGGGGGGTGCGTAAGTGTAAATATAAACATGTACCAGACAAAGAATCACCAGTGATATGAAAAGAACTCTTAGAACTCAATAATAACAAAACAATTCAACTAAAAGAAAGACATGCCACAAAGGAAGATGTATAAATAGGCAATAAGCACATTAAAAGATGCTCAGTATCATTAGTCATCAGACAAACGCAAATTAAAACCAAAATGAGATACCACTACACATCCACTAGAATGGCTAAAATTAAAAAGCCTGAAAATATCAACTGTTGACAAAAATGTGGAGTAACCAGTACTCTCAGACATGACCAGTGAGAATGTAAAATGGATTGGCCACTCTGGAAAATAATTAGGCAGTTTCTTACACAGTCAAACATGCAATTTACTATATGACCTATCAATTCCATTCCAAAATATTTACCCAAGAAAATGAAAATCTATGTTTCCACAAAGTCTACAGAAATGTTTATAGGAGTATATTCATAATAGCTAAAAACTGGGGAAAGCCCCAAATGTCCAACAACGGGTAACTAGCAAACGCATTGTAATATCCCACACAGTGAATACTACTCAGCAATAAAAAGCAATGAACACAGATGAATCTCAAAAACATTTTTCTGTGCAAAAGAAATCAAAGTAAGATTTAATTTGTGTGGAATTGTAGCAAAGGCAAAACCTATCTAAGTGACAGAAAGCAGATCAGTGGCTTCCTGGGAGACGAAGAAGAGGCTGCAAAGGGGCACAAAGGAATTTTCTGGGGTGATAGAAATCTTCTTCTTCTTCTTCTTCTTCTTCTTCTTCTTCCTCTTCCTCTTCCTCTTCCTCTTCCTCTTCCTCTTCTTCTTCTTCTTCTTCTTCTTCCTCTTCCTCCTCCTCTTCCTCCTCCTCTTCCTCCTCCTCTTCCTCCTCCTCTTCCTCCTCCTCTTCCTCCTCCTCCTCCTCCTCCTCTTCCTCCTCCTCTTCTTCTTCTTCTTCTTTTTTTTGCCGAGGAAGATTGGCCATGAGCTAACATCTGCACCAATCTTCCTCTTTTTTTTTTCCTCCCCAAAGCCCCAGTACACATCATAGTTGTAAGTCCTTGTAGTTCTTCTGTGAGGATGCTGCCTCAGCGTGGCTTGATGAGTGGTGCATAGGTCTGCGCCCAGGATCCAAACTGGTGAACCCCAGGCTGCCTACATAGAGCCTGCAAACTTAATCACTCAGCCATGGAGCTGGCCCCAGAAATGTTCTTTCTTGACTACAGCAGCAATGGTTTCACAGATGTATATATTTGTCAAGACTCATCAAATCATACACTTAAAAGGGTACACTATATTGTATATAAATTATACCTCAATGAATTACATATTTAAAAATACTGCTTTGTGAGTGCCAGCCCCATAGAAACTATTTAATGGGTCTGAGATGTGTCTTAGGCAACCAAGATTTCTGAAACTTTTCCCAAAGATTCTAACATATAACCAAAGTTGAGAACCACTACTCTCGGGGTTAAGGAGAAAAATGAATGACCCAGTGTCCTGGGACACCACAGAGGGCTACGGGCTCTCTTGGTGTGAGCACGAGCCAATACTGGAAGTCACCTCTCTTTCTGTCTGTGTTTCTCTCTCTCTCTCTCTGTCTCTGCTATGTGAGAACACGGTGACAAGGTGGCCGTCTGCAAGCCGGAAGTGGAGAGCTCTCACTAGAAACTGAATCAGCCAGTACCTTAATCTTGTACTTCCCAGGCTCCAGAAGTGTGATAAATAAATGTCTGTGGTTAAAGCCACCCTGTCCGTGGCATTTTGTTCCGGAGGTCATGGCTGACTAAGACAGGCCCTAAGATGAAAGAAGGAAGAAGCTCCATCAATGGGAGGATGGCAGAAGATTACATCAGAGGTTTGCAAAGTTGACGTGATTTCACAAGTGACACACTGTTGAGTGGCAGGGCCAGGGCTCAAATCCTGGTGTGCCTGACTCGTCTCTTCCTTCCGAACTGTGGGGCTGAGGTGTGGGTCAGGGGTCAGGTCAGAGCTGCAGCTGGCAGACGTAACACAAGCCCCGAGCTGGGCTCTGCCCACGGAGGTTTGGAGGTCATGAGGACAGAGCAACCCCTTGAGAGCTGTGGGAGGCCTTGCTTACCAGGGACTCCCATGAGACCTTCAGAGCATCACACCTGGTAGCCAGGGACCCACATCCCTTGGGTAACATCCTCCAGCAGGACGGGTATCCCGAGGGAGGCCTGGACCTCAACCAGGGAGGCCCAAGCAGCAGCAGGTGGGCATCAGGCGGGCAGAGCAAGGCCCCTGGGGGGGGAGGGCATTCAGGAACAGACCTACTCAGATCAACACAGGCCACCAGACAGGCACCATCAGGGAGTTCTGTCACTGAGGGGCCAGTCCCCAGCCTCAGAGATGGGTGGGTGACCAGGAACCAGGCAGGACCTCAGTCTGGAGGGCTCAGAGTTCCTGGACCACTTAAGAACACTCAGACCCAAAGAATAAGCCAGAACAGGATACACAGCGGGAACTGGGTTCCAGGGCAAGGCCGAAGCCCACCTGTTAGAACTGCCCAGTGTTGACGACTCCTACCTGCAGACAGACCATGTCAAAGCTGGAGGGGAGGCTGGCCTCCTGCAGCCCTGGTGGAGGGAGAAGGGGCCTGTGAGGAAGCACCCGGCCAGACGTGCCACACAAGTCGCAATGCTGCTCTGACCCATGTTCTCTCAGGGCACTGCCAGCCACACTGGGGGCCAGTTAGAACCCAGAACATCAGACCGGCCTGCCCCAGACCTACTGAAGCAGAACCTGCATTGGAGCCAGACCCCTGAATGATTCCAGGAAAATCTGAGCAGCACTGCCCCCTTGGTTACTAATTACGAACCTCCTATGGCTTGTTAGGACTGGAACCACAGGAGGTGCTCAGTTAAAAAATCACTGAATTGGGGCCGGCTGGGTGGTGTAGTGGTTAAGTTTGTGTGCTCCGCTTCTGCGGCCTGGGGTTTGCAGGTTTGGATCCCGGGTGTGGACGTAGCACCGCTCATCAAGCCATGCTGTGGTGGCATCCCTCATAAAATAGAGGAAGACTGGCACAGATGTTAGCTCAGTGACAATCTTCCTCAAGCAAAAAGAGGAAGACTGGCAACAGATGTTAGCTCAGAGCCAATCTTCCTCACATACACATACAAAAATCACTGAATAAATTGGGAGAAAAAAAGGAAAACTGTTTCCTTTCAGAGAAGTTATTACTCACCATCTTCAATGAACCAAAAACTCAAGTAGCATATCACCGTCTGAGTTTCAAGTATTTCCTCTCTGGGTGAATGGTGGTGGCTTATTCTCCCTGTCTTTTATCATCAGATAGAAACGTGTATACTGACTCGAAGTTGTTTTTTAAAGATTTTATTATTTCCTTTTTCTCCCCAAAGCCCTCCGGTACATAGTTGTATATTCTTCGTTGTGGGTTCTTCTAGTTGTGGCATGTGGGACGCTGCCTCAGCGTGGTCTGATTTTATTATTTCCTTTTTCTCCCCAAAGCCCCCCAGTACATACTTGTATATTCTTCCTTGTGGGTCCTTCTAGTTGTGGCCTGTGGGACGCTGCCTCAGCGTGGTCTGATGAGCAGTGCCATGTCCCCGCCCAGGATTCGAACCAACGAAACACTGGGCTGCCTGCAGCAGAGCGCGTGAACTTAACCACTTGGCCACGGGGCCAGCCCCTCGAAGTTGTTTTTTAAACCTTTCATTCCCAAAGATCATTATAACCAAGGAGACAGGAAATTTCCAGAAGACTCCATAAAAGGATGAATTGATGGGAAGAAACCCAACACGGCTGCCACACATGAAGACCTACAGCTCCCGCATTTCCCCAGCAAGGAGAGGCCGTAGGAGCCTGCAGCCCCTTCCCCCACTCTCCAGATCACAGAAGGTGTGGCCCGGACTGCTCCGCCCCTGCCCCTGGGATTGGTGCTCGCCCTGCCACCACCCTGGGAGAATTCCATCCCCTCCCCCATCTCCCGGAGGATTAGCTGATGCAAAGGCTTTGATAAGCATTTGTTGATTTCAGTCACTTTAATTAATTACTCAACAAATGAAAGGACGAGAATAAGCCTGAGATCCAGGTCATGAAGAAAAGTGTTCTTTTACCCATGTAGGGAGGAAAGGACCAAGAAGAGGGGTCGCGGGACCACAGGCTCCCAGAGGGAGGCAGGAGGGACAGGGAGGAGCGAGTGGGGCTTCCAGCCCCCAGACCCCTAACACCAAAGAAAGAAAGAGCAGGTGAGGGTTGCAGCAGGCAGTGCAGAGAGTGGGCAGAGCACAGGCCTGAGTGCAGCACAGGTCAGCACTGGGTGACAGCAAAACTGAGCTAGCCGCTTGCCCTTTCCCATCTCTGTTCAAAGTCAGAATGGAACTGTGGTTAAGGGACAGCATCAGCAATCACATTACCTGGGCACAGATCCACCTTTGCCATCTGCAAGCTGTGTGATCTTAGGAATGTCACTTAACCTCTCTGTTGCCCAGTCGTCTCATCTGTGAAATGAGGATAAAATAATGTTACCTCATAGGATCATCATGAGGAATAAATAAGTCAATATACGCAAAGTACTTAGGTCAGTGCCCAGGGTAAAGAAGTGCTCATTAGTTCCTCTTATCTGTGACATGCAAATAAAATGTACCTAGCAGAGTCGTTTCAAAAATATTTTAATGCAAGTACTATGCTAAGATATCACCTTACACCCATTAGAATGGCAAAAATAACCAAAACAAAAAGTAGCAAATGTTGGCGAGGTTGTGGAGAAAAAGGAGCCCTCATACACTGCAGGTAGGAATGCAAACTGGTGCAGCCACTATGGAAAATAGTATGGAGATTTCTCAAAAAATTAAAAATAGAAATACCATATGATCCAGCTATCCCACTACTGGGTATCTATCCAAAGAACTTGAAATCAGCAATTCCAAAAGACCCAAGCACCCCTACGTTCGTTGCAGCATTATTTACAATAGCCAAGATGTGGAAGCAACCTAAGTGCCCATCAACTGATGATTGGATAAAGAAGATATGTGTTTTATATATATATACACACACACGCACACATACACACACACACAAACACAAACACACACACACACAATGGAATACTACTCAGCCATAAAAAAGGATAAAATCGTCCCATTCACAACAACATGGATGGACCTCGAGGGTATTATGTTAAGTGAAATGAGCCAGATAGAGAAAGACAATCACTGTATGACTCCACTCATATGTGTAAGTTAAACATGCAAAAAAGAGAACAGATTAGTGGTTACCAGGGGAAGGGGGGGTGGGCACGAAGGGTGAAGTGGTGCACCGACAACACTACTGACAATAATGTACAACTGAAATTTCAGAAGGTTATAAACTATCATAATCTCAATAAAAAGTTAAAAAAAAATATGTTTTCAAATAACAGTGATGCCATCATGTATTTTGTTAGCTGAAAATATTGTCATATTAATATCTCATTTGATCTTCCCAGTAAACATATGAGCTAGACATAGCAGGTCCCCCCAGGGAACACGGTGAAACTTTAGGCATAGGAATTGTAGGACATTTGGAATTGTAGGAAACTTGTCAAGTCACTTCTGAGGAAAACTGGTTGAGACCTGCCTGTGGCGGCCACTGAGGGAGGGAGCCTTATACCACCTGAGCCCACCCCCACCTCCCACGGATGACCCAGCAACAGCCAATCCATAGGCTGCACAGTGGTCTTCATAGCAGCCTGGAGAAAAAAATCTATTCAGTAGAGTCACACTAGGTTTATCATAACCTCAAGTCTTAGATATCTGAATTAAAAAATGAAGACTGAGGGGTGGCCCAGTGGCATAGTGATTAAGTTCACCCTCTCCCCCTCAGTGGCCCAGGATTCATGGGTTCGGATCCCAGGTGCGACCTTACAAAACACTCATCAAGCCATACTATGGCAGCATCCCACATACAAAACAGAGGAAGACTGGCACAGATGTTAGCTCAGAGACAATATTCTTCGGCAAAAAAAAAAAAAAAAATCAACAACAAAATGAAGACTGACATCATAAACTGGTACAACCACAAGAGCAATTTGGCAACATCTAATCAAATTCTAAAATGTACATAATCTGTGACCCAACAATGTTCTCCTTGATATGTACTCTAAAGAAACATAGATCACAAAAAGACTTATCCAAGGATGTTTATTGCTTACCATAACAAAAATTTGGAATCTGGAAATAACCTAAATATCCATTGGTAAATGGCCAAATGAAATGTGACGTATCATTCAATAGAATGCTAAACAGCAGTTAAAAGGGTTAAATTAGAACTATATGCATCAAGGTGGGTGTATTTTAAAACTTACTATGAATGAAAAGACAAGTTTCAGAATCATACATAAAGAATTTTAATATTTCTGTATAAAGAATATAATAGGGGACTTCCATTTCTGACAGTATGGCAATTTAGGTGTCCTGGCCAACCGTTCCACTAGAAACAACTGAAAATTGCTGATGAATGTTTTTAAATGTCTTTTTAAGCACACCAGTGAGCTGACAGGGCTAGAAAGGAACCCTAGGTTGTAAGTAAAAGCAGAGTCCAGAGAGGCTGGGGGAGCCCGGAACGTGACTCAGGCTGGAGAACCTCTGCCTCATCAAGTGAACCTGAGCCTCGATCCCCATGGCTCCACAGGGCAGGAGAGAAGACATAGCCAGGGACCATACTTTACTGAAAAATATTGGTCCTCTAGGTGACAGATTCTCTCTGGACTCTCTATTCAAGTCCATTGATACATATGTCTAGATTTCACCCATAAAGTTTTTTTAATGAGTCTCAAAATCAGGCACTATAATGCCTCCAACGTTTTTCTTTTTTTCAAAATGTTTTGGCTGTTATAAGTTCTTTGCATTTCCACATAAACTTGAGAGTCAGAAACAGGATCAAGTCAGACTGTCGATGACCCAGGAAGACGAGAGCTGGGAACACAAGGCTGAGTGGCAGCATGGAGGGAGGTGAGTGATGGGGCCACCATCTTAGTCAACCCCAGTCCGTGGCATGATGTGCTGGCTCCCCAGCTGTTATAGAGCAGAAAATGGAGCACGAGTTGGCCTAGAAAAGGAAACGTAAGATATCTCTTGCATGAGAGAAGGATGCACCCAGGAGCAGGTGCTCAGGGCCCTTTTCCCAGTAAGTTCCCATAGCCCTCCACCTGGCTCTCCCTGGGAACAGTGATCCCCATTCCACATCCCAGAATTTCAGAGGGCGCACAGGCCTGAGAGATCATCCAGCCCAGTTCCTTCCTCTCGTAGATGAGAATCTTGAGGCACAGAGCTGATGGAAAGCAAAGCCTGTACTTAAACACATGGCTCCTAAATTCTGGTCCCTTACTGTTCCACCAGAACACATGGCTTCTTTTTTCTCCTTTTTAACATTTTTTTAATCGTGGTAAAATATACATAACATAAAATTTACCACCTTAACAGGTTTTTTTTTTTGAGGCAGATTGACCCAGAGCTAATGTCTGTTGCCGATCTTCCTCTTTTTTTTTTCTCCCCAAAGCCCCAACACATACTTGTATACCCTAGTCATAAGTCATTCTAATTCTTCTATGTGGGATGCTGCCACAGCATGGCTTGATGAGCAGTTTGTAGGTTCCACGCCCAGAATCCAAACCAGCAAACCCCAGGCCGCCACAGTGGAGCACATGAACTTAACCACTCAGCCATGGAGCCGGGCCCATATCTTAACCATTTTTAAGTGTACAGTTCAGCAGTATTACGTACGTTCATATTGTTGTGCAACCATCACCACCATCCATCTCCAGAACTCTTTTTGTTTCACAAAACAGAAACTCTGTACCCATTAAACAGTAACTTCTCATTCCTCCCTATCTCTGGTCCCTGGAAACCATCATTCTACTCTCTGTTTCTATGATTTTCACTACTCTAGATACTTCATATAAATACAATCATACAGTATTTACCTTTTTGTGACTGGCTTATTTTGCTTACCATAATGTCCTCAAAGTTGAGGACATGTTGTAGCATGTGTCAGAATTGCCTTCCTTTTTAGGGCTGAGTAATATTCCATTGTTTGTATGTACCACATTTTGTTTATCCACTCATCAATTAATGGACACTTGGGTTGCTTCCACCTTTGGCTATTGTAAATCATGCTGCTATGAATATGGGTACCAAAAATTAAAAATAGAATTACCATATGATCCAGGAATTCCACTTCTGGGTACTTTTGAGCAACTTCATACTGTTTTCTACAGTGGCTGCAGCATTTTACATTCCCACCAACAGAGTACAAGTGTTCCAATGTCTCCACATTCTCACCAACACTTGTTTTCTATTGTTTTTTTTTTAATAGTAGCCATCCTAATGTATGTGCGGTAGTATCTGATTGCAGTTTTGAGTTGCGCTTTCCTAATGATTAGTGATGCTGAGCATCTTTTCATGTGTTTATTATCCATTTGTATATCTTCCTTGGAGAAATGTCTGTTCAAGTCCTTTGCCCATTCTTTAATCAAGCTGTTTTCATTGTTGTTGCTGTTATTGCTGTTGAGTTATAGGAGTTCTTTATATATTCTAGATATTAACCCCCTATCAGATATATGCTTCACAAATATTTTCTCCCCTTTCATATATTGCCTTTGCACTCTGTTGATTGTGGCCCTTGATGCACAAAATAGAAAACGTGGCTTCTTTTGTGAGAAGATTTCATGGAATTTTGGGAGGTGGGGGAGTCAGTGGCTAGATAACAGAGGATTTTTACTATGCAGAGCTAAACGGCACACATGCATATCAAGTAGAATTCTGCTTTTGATACAGAGGTCACGGTGAGGGTGAAAGTATCAGGGAACTAGCACCATGGACAGCACCCAGAGACTTCTGTCCTGGTTTCTTGTGCTAAACCCTTTGATTGTTGAGCATTTGTTTAGTGCGCACTCCTGTACCTAAATCTGAGTTGTGCAGGCGGCATAACACAGAGTCTCTGTCCTCAGGGATCTTGTGGTCAAGTTGGAAATATAGGAAAGAAAGGCCACAACACTGAGGGACTACACCTAAAGATGCCATGGAACTCTTAAAGCACATGATCAGATAGATGATCATGTTGGTCCTAAAAAAATCTTAAACAGAATGCACTGAGGAGGAGAGGGGGTGACAGCAAGACTTGGAAAGGGGTGGTGGATGTGATGCTATTACAAGAGTCCAAGTAAGAAATTCCAGGCGCTTGATCTCTTCCAAGAGCAGTAGAGAAGATAGAAAAGAAGATTTGAGAGAAATCAACATGATTTCATAATTGAATGGGATAGAGTAATAGGACATAACTCCCATTTTTCTGGCTAAGTTTGTTTACTAGTTGTCACAAACCAAGGCCATGAATGTAGGAAGTGGAGCTGATTTAAAAGGAAAGACGGTGAGTCTGATTTTAGATGTTTAGAGTCTGAGGTGCGTTTAAGACATTCAGAGGGAGATACGCAATAGGCAATTAGAAGTATGGGTCTGGAGCTAAGGAAG